AGGTATTGTACCAAGAAAATATGTGACATTTACATTTTAATGTTATTAGTAATGTTATGCAGTTAGTATATTTACTGGCTTGTGTCACAGAATTATTACTCCCTCCAATCAGCCAATCATATTGTGACGTGATGGCTGAATTGTAATAGAGGCGTCCAATAAATCTGATCATCAAATGTAGAACCCATAATTATTAGTCACGCCTACCCCTATATGTGACAGTATGATAGACTGCGCGTCACTAAAGATTGATGTGCAGTTAATATACAAGTATACAAGCTTGGGGAAATAAGTTTCGAGGCTCATTTTTTTAAAAATTCATTATAAGAGCTGCAGATGTTAGCAACTTAGAATTTTTTGAAGTAATCCCTCTCCAGTTCTTTACAATGTTCCCAGGCCTTCGTCCATTGTTCAAAATAGTTTTTAAAATGCTGAACATGAATATCTAACAAAAATTTATTTCACAGATGATTTAATGTCCTCAACATCTGAGGAACGCTTTCCTTTCAGCACACTCTTTGAGTTTTGGAAATGGCCAGAAGTCAACTGGAGCCAAGTCAGGAGAGTACAGTGGATGGTCCATGGTGGAGATGCCTTTTCTTGCTAAAAACTGTGACACTTGAAGTGAAGAATAGGCTAGCGCACTGTCATGGTGAAGAATCAATGAGCAAGCTCTCCACAACTCTCCCCCCTTGTGCCTCACAGCATCAGTAAGCCCTTTCAACATCTCCATATAGAATGTCTGATTAAGAGTCATCCCTTCAGGTACACATTCGAAGTGGATGATATCCCTGATGTCGAAAAACAGATCAACATTATTTTGAACTTGGACGTTGACATCTGTGGCTTCTTTGGCCTGAGGGAGATTCTTTGATCTGCACTCCATGGACTGGCATTTAGCCTCGGGATCATATTGATAACACCATATTTCGTCACCAGTAATGACACATCCAAAGAATTATCTTGAAGTTGTTCTAAAGTCCATGCACAAAGTGGGATGTTTGTCCTTATGTTCTGTCAAGTTTCACATCATGAGCTTTGCTGCTAACTTTCTCATGCCAAGATTCTGTACTAAAATTTTCCTGACACTCTCTTTGCTCATATCAAGCTAATCAGCTATCATCATGCAAGTTAACCGGCAGCCAGGTTGCACAAGTTCCCAGATTTTCACTACATTTTCGTCCATTTACTTCGTTTCAAGAGCAACTTGCTTTTCATTATCTTTCACAAATTCTCTGCCTTCTCTGAAACTTTTGTGCATTTAAAAACATTACTTTTGCTTATAGTAGATTCACCATAAACTGCTTTTAACATCTCTGACACTTCACTTGGCAATTTCCACAGTTTAACACAAAATTTTACATTTACACTCTGTTCCATCATACACTCCATTTTCACATCTGGACAAAATTTGCAACACAGTGATCTAACAAGCTACTGTTCATTGAATGCTAAACATAGCTTATCCTGACTTTCCATGTGAGCTATGTCTTGTTGCATCACCTAACATTCCAAGCAACAGCATTGCCAGGTTGCCCAGCACAAATTAAAACAAGTTTCAAAGCTTATTTGCCCAGCCTTGNCTAGGGAAGCCTCATGGTAAAAGACCACTTATAGGACAAAGCTGAAGGGGCCAAGGAGGAAGCACTTATTGATTTAAAAGAAAGTAGGTAGTAATGCTAAGAACTGCATGCAGTATCACAGTGAGGTTCAGTAATGAATTGCTAATGGTGATGAAACTTTGAATTAATTGGTAAGGTATATTAACGTTAGAAATCAATTCATTGATAATTTTCTTAGTTTAAAGTTTTCTCTCATTTAATATTCAGTTTTGCTAATCCAAGGTCAACAATATCAGTGTTAAATTTTTGCATCTTAAGACTGTACCCACTGTAGTATTCAAATCTGTTGGTTCTGAAAGGAATCTTATATGGGGAGGTTTCCCCAGTTATATCTATCCATAGTCTTGTGAAAATGGTTAAATATTGACTGTGCTCTATAACAAAGTGGACGAAGAAAACTGGATTCATGAGTCCAGAGGTAAGCTCTCATGAATGTGGTAATGAACGCTCAAGTTTTGTGAAAGGTGGGGTTTTCTTGACTAGCAAAGCAGTTCTTAGTTTCTCAAGTCCTGGTGCTGGTTAAAAATGTCCTTGTAACAAAGTATAAGGGCTATTCAGAAAGTAACCTCCAGTGAGCTGTTAAGAAAACCCGCAGTGAGAAAAAAAAATACTCTATGGTTTCAGCATTCACAAATGAAACCCCAGTTTCATCAACTTTCACTCATATAGTGTGACTGGGATATTGAGCGCCTTCTTTGTGGTATTGCTCTAAAAAGTCAAAGCCATTCTCTGCATTTTGTATGCACCTGTAAGCATTTCTGGAACCCATTTTGTGCAAAACTCATGATAGAGAAGTTTAACTGTGATAATCTCATAGTGAACAGTGCATGAAATTTGTGGAAATTCACATGAAAGTTCTGAAATTGTGAAGGGCCGTTTTTCACAATTTTTGATCAACACTTTAAACACTCCCTACATGGCCAAACACTTTGCTTTTCATTGTGAACATCTGTTCGCCCATCTTTAAACATTCTACACCACTGTCTTACAGTTCCTTCACTCATTACATTTTGGCCATAAACAGTGCATAATTCATAATGGATTTCCAGAGCACTCATGTTTTTTTGTAAGAAGAAAGCAGATAACAGTATGAATTTTACAGCTGACATGATTATCAATCACAGGAAAACATAACTCACTCTGTAGAGACAAGGACAAACACTAGGTGACCAGTTATATGATGGTTTACAGGGCAATGAGTCATGTGACGCTGCCTCGCATGCACAAGCTCTCCCCCGCTCCTACATTAATTGCCTAAAATAGACAGAGGTTACTTTCTGAATAGCCCTTGTATATAAGTCTTTGTGCCTTGAATACTGAAATATACAGAATATACTTTGTTATGGCCAGGAACTGTCAGAACCCTTTAGAATCATCTAGAACCTGTTATGTGTACAGGACCCTGGACCTTCCCAGGATGTGAGGCTGTAGCAGTGGTGCATACCAACTTGTCAAACCATGAAGTAGATCCACCTGATCTCCAGCTGATGGTCTTGCCCACTGGAATTTCCGTTGATGGGTGTGTCCACCTACGGAAGGCACTGGGCATATCAGACACGGTACTGGCATGCTATGGATTGTACTCTCATGTCTGTTAGAGTTTATGTTTCGTGTTACAAGTAGGATCTGTATACAACAGATACTATCTGACTAGCTCATCATTCGAAGGTAATAGTTGCAATAGTCAGTGTGTTACACATTTAATTTTTGTGATTTTTAGTTGTGGAATGAATATTTCTCCCCGCTTCTTGGACAGCCTGTTGTGTCTCTGATGCCTGTGTTGCTTCACCCCAAGAGTGTGGGTGAAGTCCTCTTGAGAAGCAGCAACCCAGAGGATCCTCCACTCATCCAGCCAAACTACCTCACACACCCACAGGATGTGGAGACCTTATACCATGGTAATGCATTGAGCTGTTTTGGGGTCATGGATATGAAGTGAAATTCCAGTACGGTGTTCCCATATTCAGTGAATATTTTTTCTGGTCCCAGCCAAAGCCAATTGTAAGCAATATATTAGTTGTAAGATTTGAGACTTTCACGGCGGTGACTATGAAGAAAGCAGTCTTCTGGGATTTGGCACCATGTATATGTGGTGTTAACCGTTCTCACGGTCTTGTCGCTTGCAGAATTCTTATACTTTTTCTTCTACCCTGAAGATGGAGGCGATACGTTCCTCCAAAACGTCGGTTAACACCACATATACACGGTGCCAAATTCCAGAAGACTGCTTTCTTCAATGTATTAGTTTCCCATATACACGTATATTAAACTTCAATTTATTGATTAATCTGCTTTCAGTGTAAGAAATTTTTGACTTTCAAGAATTTATACTTAGTTCAGTGTCATTATTGTTCACACAACAACCAATATTCATGTTTCTCGCTCCTGCTAATCATTACTCCACAGTTATGATGTTGGGTGACATGACATACTTAACATGCAGCAAAGTCCTACCATTTGTAACATTATAGTCACTTTGATTCTTGATTCAAGTTCATTCTGCATTTATTTCATGTTATTGTGTTTTGAAAATTAATTTTGTATTATTGATTGTGTAATTCTGATTATTTATACAGAAACAGTTTCTTTAACTACTTAATGTAAATAAATGGGAGCCAGGCTAACTCACTTGATACAGCTACAAGCTGGGTGGCCAGAGTTCAGTTCCCATCAGAGGCATGAGATTTTTCTCTACTCAGCAACAACCAAACCAGCGTTAGGGTCCACCTGTGCAATGGGTATCAGGGGCTCTTTCCCTGAAGGTAAAGTGGCAGGGGCATGAAGCTGACCACTCACTTCCTCCTTGTGCCACGATCAAGAATGGTGGAGCTGTACCTTCACTCCCCCATAGCTCTTCATGGTATGGTGCTTAATTAATTAAGCCCAGTGACAAATTGACCACCTCTGTGGTCTAGTGGTCAGCGTTCCTGCCTATAGATCCAGAGGTCCGGGTTCAATTCCCAGCAATACCAGATTTTCAGAGAAGTAGTGGGTCTGAAACGGGGTCCACTCAGCCTCGTGAGGATAACTGAGGAGCTATTTCAAGGAAATAGCAGCTCCATTCTAGAAAACCGAAATTAACAGCCATGGGGATTTGTTGCGCTGACCACGCAACACCTTCCATCTGCTAAAGGGAGCACTAACTTCGTCGACAAGCAGCGGTCGATCAGTTGGTATAGTTTGCTTGCAGACTAAAAGCACGGAGTTTGTTTTTTATGCAAATAAATTATTTTATCATTATTTTATGTAGTAAGTCTTACATGAAGTTGAACAGTTTCTTGATATAATATTGTATAACTTAAGGTAAAGTAGTTCTTCTGCTTGATTAGTTATGCACTACCTTTCTTGGTGACAGCATTAAATTGAGGTGAGTGATCAGCTTCATGCTCCTGCTGCTTAACCCCCAGGGAACAAGCCCCTGGTACCCATTTGATAGGAGGCTGGGTGGGCCCCAGATTCAGTCTGGATGCTGTGGAGAAGAGAAAAATCTTGCACTGCCAGAACTCAAACCGAGGCCATCCAGCCTGTGGCCTCTCACTATACTGAGTGATCTATTCTGACTGTATTTAGTAAAAACCTCAATTTACGGCAAGAAAAATATGTCCTCTGGAGATTAGTAAAGAGGGACCTCACTATGATACTCAGTGTCAGGTTGAGAATTTTTTGTCACCATCTCAATTTGAACTCGTAAATGCCATACTTTCAGGAATTGAGCTAGTGAAGAAATTGTTGAGGACAAAACCCATGCTGGAACTGGGGGCAAGGTTAAATGACAAGCCGCTGCCTGGATGTGAGTCCTTTCCGTTTGATTCTAAGGGATACTGGGAGTGCTACATACGCCACCTCACTCTGACTTCCTATCATCCTGCTGGAACTTGCAGGATGGGTCCCACGTGTGATCTTGAAGCTGTTGTGAATCCTAACCTCATGTGAGTTATGTGCTTTACATTCATTTTTCACTCCCCTTCATTTTTGGAACAAATCTGTGATCATAAATTTTCTAGACTTGTGCCTCATCAGTGTATTCTGTCTGTTCATGTGCAATTCTTGCCTTCCAAACCACATATTACTTCAACAGAACTTGAATTTGGATGCCTGAATTTTTCTTCTCCACAGTATCCAGTCTGGCCCTTGGGCCCAACCAACCTCATGTCATTTCATCTCATTAGTCCAAATATTCTCCTCAGCACACTGTATCAAACACCCTCAGTCTATGTTTCTCCCTTATGTCAGAGACCAAGTTTCACACCCATACACAACCACAGGCAAAATTATAGTTATGTATGTTCTAATTTTATGTTTATAGACAGCAGCTGAAAATACAAAAGTTAGCAAGCATTACATGAATTCAGTGCAGAAGTGTAAACACATTCTGTAACTCATCTATCATAACCCCTCTTGGCCTAGGCAGATGACCGCACCATTTGTCTACAACATTTCACTACAACTAAATGATACTCATTTAAATCCAACTGAGATGTTGTATCTCTTCATTGTAGGGTACATAATACACATCGGCTGTTTGTGATTGATGCATCAGTAATGCCTAGTCTTCCAAGCGCAAACATCCATGCGGCAGTGATGATGATTGCAGAGAAGGGAGCCGAGCTGGTGCAGATGCACTGGGACTTATTGCATGGTAAAAGTACCAGACACTCTCGAAGCTGGAAGTCAATTGGAGAGGAATACCAAGGCAATCGAATGTGCTTCTCTTAGGTAAATGCGGTGTAATGAAAGAAGTCATGTGTTATAGAAATTCTGTTACTGAGCTGGGTACATTGTGTAAGATCCTGTCAGAAGTTATACAAGTAGCTTGTAAGCATTGTATCATTATGCAGATTACATTAAGCTTTACATCTGCCAGCTGTACTTTCTCTGTTGTCCACAAACAGCTGTATGGGTGTGTGTCAAGAGTAGCGGCAGAACATTGTCAGGTGGCTAATTGTTTTGCAGTTAGCAGTTCTAGATTTATATTATATGGTATATACAGGGGGTGAACAAAATAATGGAAACACTAAGAACTTGAGGAATAGAATTTGTTTGTGTTGGCTACATTGAAAGAAATTCAGTTGGCAGCACTGAATGTTCTTCCTTTTGTTTACACACTGTAATGCTCATGCTGGTGCAGTAGTGATTGTGTTGAGTGGCAGTCCATGTGAAAGAATTGGAAAATGGGAGACTTGTCTGATTTTGAAAGGGGACAGATTGTTGGTGAGCGTTTAATTGGAGTGTCTCTGACAAAACCTGCCACATTATTAGGTATATCGAGAGTGACAGTTTCTAAGGTTAAGTCAACATACACAAATCATGGGGAGACAACATCAGCAAAGAGGAACTTTGGGTGAAAATCAACATTGACAGAAAGAGATCGTCATACATTGAGAAGGATTGTTTTGAAAAATCACAGAACTACTACAGCACACGCGACAGAACAGCAGAACTGAATATTCGTCTTGACCCAGTTTCTACAAAAAATGTCCAATGCGAGCTTCACAAATCCAACATCTATGGTAGGGCTGCAATTGCTAAATCTCTGATTATTGAAAGTAATGCTCATATGCACAAACGATGGTGTCACGGTCATAAAACCTACTGAAACACGTGATGATGTCAGATAAGTCGTCCTTCACACTGTTTCCTACATTAGAAAGAGTTTGTGTTTGGAGAACACCCATGGAAGCCTGCAACCCAGAATGCGTGGGTCCAACAGTGAAACGGGGGAAGTTCTTTGATGAGTTTGGTCAGAAATGTTGTGTTACAGTATTCTGTTGGTCCAATTATTATTCTTCATGGTCAGATAACTGCAGGGGAGTACGTGAATAAGTTGGGTAGATCCCATGATCCAGACATTTCTGAAAGACAATGCAATTTTCCAAGACAACAATGCCTCTATTTACACAGATGGAAGTGTTCAGTCATGGTTTGAAGAGCATGAAGGTGAACTTCGCCACCAGATTTGAACACTCTTGTCAGTTTTAATTATTTTCGGGTTATAAACGCGTTTAATTTGTTAGGGAACAAGGGCTGTATATCTGTGATTAACTGAGGAAAACCACAATAGTTGCTAGAAAAAGCAAGTCCTTTTGTTCTGTTTTCTGTGTTCAATTATTGATGTTTCAAACATTACATCCATGTCTTTTTAATTCCACCAAATGTGGAGGTAGACAATTTGTTGTGGAGGACTGAGGAAGCCTGGTTCTTCCTAACCAAGAATTATACCAGAAAAGTTTTATTGTATATTTCATTTCTTTAAGATAATGCACTGAACAAATTGGCTCAAGCCATAATGCTTCTGACATGTATTTGTGTGAAATACTCAGTTCGGATGTCAGTCAGGACCCTGGCTACCCTGACCGAGATTTTACATGATTTGTCATAGTCCCTTCAAGCACCCACTGGGAAACTAATTGATTTTATATACTCAATTTCCTACATAAGACTGAAATATTTGGTCATAAATGTCTAGAAATTGCCACAATATTTCTCTGTTAAATACACAACTTTAGTCCATTAAACTATTTCAGTTTTCGTCCACAGACTTTTCTCACCTGTCAAAGCAGCTGTGTCCCTGGGCAGGCATCTGACAATTGTCAAAATATTTCAGTGGGTTAAAACAATATATACAAATTTCCCTATTAAATAAATTTTATTGATATTGCATGTTATAGTTCACAGCATACATCATATTCCCAAGTGAACCATTCACACCACAACTCTTTATTAAACATGACTTTATAAGACCTTGTAGTAAGTATTATGCCTGGATGATATTGGCATATTTAGCAACATGTAGATGTCCAATAAATGGATATGTCTTGGAGCAGTATTTGAACAGTTTGGAACTTGGTACATAAATTCATCTTGGGCCCCAACCAGCAGTATAAATTCACTG